TTAATAAAGCTCAAAAGGTTTGCAAAGACAAGCAAACACAATATTAGTTAAGTTGATGAGCCACAAGATTAGAGACAAGCCACAAAATAGCAATCAGCAAGCTAAAATTAAAGTAAGCAACAACTGAAAGGCTTTGTACAATTTAAAGGCGAAATGAACTTTTCATTGATCAAAAGAAGGCATTACAATAGTTGAACAATGCACCAAAAGTGCTACAAAAGTTGCCTTACCATAAGCTAGGTTGGCGTACATTAAAAGCACAAGTGGTCTGGTTCAAAACTTGGGTATCCCTCCTTAATATAGCTTGTTAAGCCTTTTCCTAACTGGCAGGAGGAAACATCTACTATGTTTGAGGAGTCATAATGGATTTTTAAAAATTCTACAAAAAGAGAAAAATTACAACTCTTGGTCCCAAACACCTTTAATACTAAGGTATTTACATAAAAATTTACAAGGCAAAAAGATTATATTTGATCCTCCAAAATTTGGCCTAAAGTTGCTACTTGGATAGGCAAGTCTGTGGCTAGGTTGCTTCACGGCATGTCTTGAGCTATCTTGCACTATGCCTTGGGTCTTTGCTTGCACTTGCACCAATAATTTCTTAGGCACGTTTTTGGCTCTCCAAAGGGCACAAATGAGTGTGGCATCAAGGTGTTGACCCTTGAATGGGCGCACCTTGACACAAAGCTAGGAGTGGATATACTCCCTAAAACCACCTTGAGTGATGTCCCGTCCCATAAACACCTCGGCTTTGTTGCTTTTGAATCACCAAAGCTCTATTGTAAGCCTCTTAAGACAGACCACAAAGTGTGTAGAACCAGCACATATTGACTATAAGGCTCCAAGCCGCTAATATATCTTGCAACTATTTGTTCCTCACTCTCATTGATGTCAACTTGAGCAACCAGTTGGTAAAATGCTTCTGTGTATCCCTCAATGCTCCCATATTGCTTGAGGTTATATAAGTTCTTGTTCAAGGTTGCAAGTAATTGAAAGGAAAAAATTGCTCTTGCCACTGAATTGTTTTTGAGGTTAAGAATTGAGGTCATTTTCTCCCATTCTCAAATTTTGCCCTTGCCACTGAGTTGCCTATTCTCTTACAATTGCTCCCACCAAGAAGCTGCTCTCCCCTTTGATGCAAATTGTCACTAACTTCACCTCCTTCTTTTCGGAAACATCACCACACTAAAACACCCGCTCAAATAGTTTTGAGCCAATCAACAAACTGATCAGGAAGCGAGACTCCCATGGAAATTGGGAAGATCAATCTTAATGATGATCTCCATTTGTACTCAAAACATTCTGAACTCGATTGACACTTTTGCGGGGCAACAAAAGGATTCTCAAAAGAATGGTGAGTATCCTTGGTATATTTGGAAACATCAATATCATCAGTAGGAGCTTGCAAACGTTGCACCTAAGAAGCATAGAAAAATATTTATATTTTTTATTTTCATTTGTTATGTAGATTAATATTTTACATCCACAAACAAATAAAAATAAGAAAAACGTACACAATTCAATATAAAAAAAAACTCATTCTTAAGTTAATTCGTAAGTTGTATCATTTATTTAATCGAATCAAAAAGTAGCAACCATTCAACATCCGACTCCAACATCCAACGTACTGAAGGAGAGGAGACAAAAAACTAGTTGGCTTGTCCTCTCACAAAAAATTAATCAAATAAAGGACACGCCATGTGACTTGTCCCCATGTGTAACCCTTGTGTCCGACACTGCTACAGCCTTGTTTTGAAATGTGAGTGCTTCATAGCGTTGAACCATGTCAGTCGATATGGAGATTTGCCTTCTCAACACCGCAATTTTATCTATTCAACAAAGACTCCCATTGTTCCACTCAATCTCGGCTTCTCCCAAATTTGCAGCAAAACCTCTACCTCTACCCCTACCTCCTCCTCTTTACCTACCGCGTTGAGTCATCAATTCTTGACACTGTTTGGAGACAAACAGAAACAAATGTATATTCAAATTGGACCGAGGCAACACTACACTCAAGGCGAATAAAAAACTGGTCCAAGCAGCAATAATATTACAGAACAATATCAGCCATGAAGACGCACAAACTACAGGTCAATATTGACAAATCAAAATTTAATACCGAATCAGAATTGTAATCGATCACCAGGTCAATTGTACAATCCATGACTTTGTATCTAGGTCAAATTGGAGCCGCAAGGTCAGATCTAGATCAGAATCAAGATTGAAAATTTCTTCTCAAAACAGAGACAATTGAAGTTGAAATTCGATTCTCGAAGCCGACTATAGATCACAATCAGTTTGCGAACTCAAATCAAGGTCGAATCCATGTGAAGTCAGATCGAAATCAGAAAAGGAATCGCTATCACAAAATCAAATCAAGATCAAATCAATGTGAAGTCCGATTGAAATAAGAAAAAAGAATCGCAAGGTTGAACTCAACAGATTCTCGTTGCAATATAAGAATCACAACGAAGTCGATTCAAAGGACATGAATGTGAATCGAAGGCCACAATCAGATTGCAAAGTCCACTCACAGACCAAAATCGAATCTGAGATTGAAACTAGAAATTGAAGTCTGATCTCTGATGAATCCCAAAGCACCGAGAAGATGCAAGTCTTGCTCAAAGTGGCTCAACTATAGGCACGAAGCACTATAGTGGGAAAGAAGAAAGCAAGAGGGGAGCAGAGAGATCAAATGGGTTGAAAGCTAGTGATGTGTTGCAAAAAAAATGAATTTGGTGTATTTGGCTATAAGACAAGAATAATATGGAATTTAATTCGCGATTGTTTGTTCACAAATATAGTGATGAAAATTTGAGTTGCTTTTGGTAGAATTTTAAAATTAAGATTTGTGAATAGAATTATATTTTGAGTTTGTGAGTTTTGAAATTATGATTTGTTGGGTTATAAGATTTAAAAAGATTTTTTGAATTAAGTTTTGAGTTAAGTGTTGAATTGAGTAATAAGTTCATTCACAGTGTTTTGAAATATAAGGAGGATAAAGTACTATCACTGAAGTCGAGAATGGTTGATCAACGAGAGCAAGGAGGATGGATACCGGTGGTAAGGAAATGAGGTAGGCACGGGAAGCTGGAAGCGTGGAATGAGAAGAGAACATCAGGTTTGTTCACATTATTTGTGGACAATCTACCAGAAGCAATGCACCCAAAGAGCATGTATACGTTGTTTACAAAGTTTGGAGTGGTTAGGGATGTGTTTATCCCAAATAAGAGGAGGTTAGTAACAAAAACAAGATTTGGTTTTGTTCGTTTTGATTGCCCAGTAGCAGCTCAGATTGCTGAACAAAAGGCAAATGGCCTATGTATAGACAACAAAGTGCTAGCTGTTAAAAGTGCAATCTATGGGAAAGAGCAAGCCGAAATCAAATGGAGGCAACTAGATCACAAGGGAAAGTTTGTGGTGCGACAAGATATGGAGGTAGTACAGAAAAATGTGAGAAATCCTGGTAGGGATAACAGATCCTTTGTCGAGGTATTAAATGGGGTTGAGAAAAGAGGCACAACAATGACTACCATTGAAGTAAAGGAGATTGGGAATGGGTGGCTATATACGAGCAAGATCATGAGACTTAAACCGCAGTACTCCAACATGGAGCTGAAAGAGGAACTAAATAACAAAGGTCTGGGTGATGTGGTAGTTAGAAGGGGAGGTGGTAGGGATGTGATAATAACATTCAAATCAAATGAGGAGCTCAGAAGCAAAGAAAGTGTACTAAATGTAGGTTTTCACAAGTGGTGTGAATATATCACAGATTGGGCTCCAGGTCTTCATCTTGATCAAGAAAGATTTGTCTGGTTGAGTTGTTATGGGATTCCATTGAACCTGTGGAATTCTGATACTTTCAGAAAAATTGGAAGAGCATGGGGTCAGGTGGTTAACTTTGACGAGGATGTATCATGTATGTGAACCTTCATCTTTCAGTCGTGGAAGGATTAGAATCGTTACCAGTGTAATGGAGTTGATTAATTCAAGTTTAAATCTGGAATGTAAAGGAAGAATATATCCCATAAGGGTATGTGAAGAACAGATAGTGAATGAGATAAATGGCAGGTGCAGGTGTAATACGTATGAAGGTGGAAGGGATTATGGAAGTTCAAATGTTCATGGTGGGGCACAGAAGGTAGAGGCAGGCAGAAAGGAAGAAGATGATGATGTCATAGCTGATGAAGAAAGTGAGAAGGAAGAGGTGGCAAAAAGGGTTATGGCAGATCAGAGGCAGGGTAGAGGTGAGCTTGAGGTGGAAGGCAAGTGGGAGGTAGTATCCGTAGAGTCTGCAGATTGCTTGGGGAAATCAAATGTGATACTTCCAGATATAGAGGTATCATTGTTGAGGGAGGAAAGTAGGCAGTTGCAGAGGTATAATCATGAAGGTCAGTTAGTAGATGGTCAGATTGTTACACATGGGTTTATTTCAAGCATCAATGGGACTCAACGGGAAAGACCAGGTATTTTTCTGGAGGTAAATTTGGGCCAGGATCAGTTTAGTAGCCAAATCAATGGGCCTAGGCCATATGGATCAGATCTGAAGAATTCAAGTCAGACCAATGAAGGCAGACAGCTTGGGCCTGATATGGTGGGCTCTAAGTCTTATGTGAGTAATTCTATAAGTTCTTTCTATAGTGATTCTATAAATAATCAACCGAGGAAAGGAAGTAGGGGAGGTATGATCAGTATGGGCTACAGAAACCAGTCAGTAAAAGGAGGCTTTTCTGGGTTTGTTAGAAGATTAGGACAGAGAGGATCTGGGTCAAGCAAAGGCAACCAAAAAAATGTAGTGGTCAGAGTTGTAGCAAAAGTGTTGTTCAAGTCATTATCTGAAAAGTCTCAATACATATGTAATGAGGGGAGATTGAAGGAAGCACAAGAAACTCTGTAATTAGGGAAAAGACTGGGGATTGAAACCAAGGGCCAAGATGATGCAATAATACAACAATTAATCCTGCTTGAGGAGGGTGATAAGGAGAGAGTGGGAAAGGGGTATGGCAGGTGCCTGTAATCAGCTCTTTGTGGGTGGTCTACAGTGGTTAATACATGTTGTTATGAAGATGTTAAGCTGGAATATTAGAGGAGTTGTAAGATCTGAGAAAAAAAGACAGATTAAGAAACTCCTAATCGCTAGAAAGATTGAAATGGTTCTATTTCAAGAGACTAAGTTATCAAGTATATTAGAGGTGGAGGTCAGAAGGTTATGGCATAGGGACAGGTTTGAATACATGTCAGTGGAGGCTGAAGGAAGAGCTAGAGGGCTGTTATGCATTTGGGATCCTAGAATGTTTCAGTTGTCAGATTGTTGTAGCAACAGAAATTTTATACTACTATCAGGTACTTTTCATAATTCTTTTGAGTGTGTAATCCTCAATATATATGCTCCAAATGGTGTGGTGAAGAGAGGCAACTTATGGGAGGTCCTGCTAAACACGAAAAGTAGCTTCTCAAAGCCTTGGTGTTTGGGTGGTGATTTTAATGAAATTAGAAATGTTGCTGAAAGAGTAGGGTGTTCAAGAAGGGATAGGGAAATGAAAGACTTCAATGAGTTCATAGATAGATGTGAGGTGACTGAAATTCAGATGCTTGGTAGCAAATACACCTGGTCTAATGCTCATGAGGGGATTAAATGGATTAAAATTGATAGGTTCTTTCTTAGCCCTGAATGGATTGAAAGATTTAAGCTCAAATTATGGGGATTATCAAGAACCATCTCAGATCATTGTCCCCTAGTACTTATGGAGGATGTGAGGGATTGGGGACCAAAACCGTTTAAGTTCTTGAATGTGTGGCTATTGCATCCTAAGTTTGCTTCTCTAATGGTGAAGGTTTGCGGAGAGTCATACATTGTAGGGGATGCTGGCTTCACTCTACAAGAGAAATTACAAGCTCTAAAGATGGCTTTGAAATAGTGGAATAGAGAGGTGTATGGTACTGTGGAATCAAAACTAAAAGCAGTGGAGGATGAATTGCATATGCTTGATTTGAAAGCTAAAATCAGTCCATTAGTGGAGGCAGAACTGAAAAGGAAAAGAGAGCTAAGAAAGTGAGATGTGGAATCTTAGTTGTATGATTGAATGGACATGGCTTCAAAAATCAAGATTGGATTGGAATCTAAGAGGGGATAGGAATACTAGATTCTTCCATATCACAGCAAGCTGCAGACTCAATAGAAATGCAATAAACTCCATTACAGTTGAGAGGAGTGTAATTGAAGAACCTGACCAAGTAAAACATGAGGTGTGGACCTATTTCAAAAAGCATTTCTCAAAAGAGTGGAGGAGGAGGCCTGTGTTAATAGGGGATTTCAAGTCTGTAAGGAACAGTCAGAATTTTGCACAACTCAAAGCAGATTTCTCAGAAGAAGAGATATGGGCAGCAGTGAAGGACTGTAATGGTAATAAAGCACCGGGTCCGGATGGTTTTAATTTGTTGTGCTTTCAAAAGAATTAGAGGGTGGTCAAAGAAGAAGTGATCCGTTTTATGAAAGAGTTTTATATTAGAGGAAGGCTGGAGTATGGGTTGAACTGCTCATTTATTACTCTCATTCCTAAGAAGGAAAATGCTTTGAGTCTAAATGAGTTTAGGCCAATAAGTTTGATAGGATCTATGTATAAGATCCTATCTAAGGTTCTTGCAACTAGACTAAAGTCAGTGCTTCATGAGGTAATTAGTGAAACTCAATCTGTTTTTCTAGGAGGGAGAAACATATTGGATGGAGTGTTAATAGCTAATGAAATAGTAGATGGGTGGAAGAAAGCTAAGAAGAAAGGGTTATTGTTTAAGCTTGATTTTATGATTCCATTAACTGGAAATTTCTTGTTTCAATGCTTTCAAATTTTGGCTTTGGATCAAAGTGGATTTCATGGATGAAGGAATGTGTGTCATCAGCCAGAGTCTCAGTTTTAGTGAATGGAGCACCAACTAAAGAGTTCTCTTCTCAGAAAGGGCTTAGACAAAGGGATCCTTTATCACCATTCTTATTTAACTTGGCGGCTGAAGGGCTGAGTGTTCTACTAAGGAGAGCAAGTGTAATGACCCCAAAATGCGTATAAGAAATCATATTTATTTAACTATGAGATGATGTGTTTTAATTTAATTATATCTATTGGAATTGAAGCATTATCTATTGAGTTACGGATTTAAAATTGAAATTACCGACCTTTATGGGTTCATAAATCAAAATTGAGTACTTGGGTATGTTAATGGGAATTTTTAGAACTATTTGAAAAAATTAATTGGAAATCTAATTTGTCTGATTCGTTAATACACGTTTGGGTGGTTAACTTTATACTGCAAATTGAGGGCCCTAGAGGCTTCAGAAACCGGAGTAGGGGACATATTTATGATCAGCGTAATTTTTAGAGTCACCTGGGAACTATAATTGAAATTTGATTTTGCGCGATTCGTAAGGCCACGTTTGGCTCCCCCTATTGTGTTAAGTCATGTGTGTGTGTTTATTTAGATATATAGATATGTTTTTGAGTGATTGGTCTCATCTTTTGGGAGCCAAAATATCTAAAAGAGAAAGAAGAGAACCGTGAGGGAGAAAAGAGAAGAGAGACCAAGATTCTTGAAGAAAAGCTTAACAATCATGGGGGTTTGAAGGGAATTGAAGAAAGAGAAGGGAGATCAACAATGGAGGCTTGAGGAAATGAAGGAGAATTAAAAGGAAGACAAAGATTGAACTAAGGTATGATCACCTATCTTGAATCCTTATGTTTAAAGCATCAATTACATGAAATCAAGGATTGATATAGAAGATGTGAGCTTTGAACCCCAACTATGGCTATATTATGTTCTTGTGTTCTTGTGCTTGGAAATTGAGTAATAGTTTGAGGTTATGATGTTTGATGGAGATTAATAATATGAAATTTGTTATGTATTAAAGGGTTTTGGGCTTTGATTTACATGTAATTAAGGTTTGATTTTGAAAATGAGAAGTCCCAAATTTTCAGCCATTTTCGGACTATAAACTGTCCAGGGCCGCACGTGTGGCACTGTTTCCCCGCACGTGCGGAGACAGCTCTGTCCAGCCAACTTTGAACAAGCATATCTTTTGCATCCGGACTCCATCTTGAGTGATTCTTGAGCCTAAAATCAAACCCCGAAAATCTAGTTTTCAATGGTGGTGGTCTCTCCCAAATTCTAAATACAGAAATAGTTATGCCCAAAAATAGTGACGACTGTTCACTTTATGTCAACCAGTTTTGTGCCATTTCTTCACCTAAACCATTTCCCATCGATTTCTCATGTTTTTTGAGACATGGATTATAAATTATTAAGGAATAATGAGCTTGGTACCAACATGGCTAAGTGATTGAATGATCAAAGAGAATAAGTAAAGGATCGAGTATAATCTCATATTATGTGTTGTGCAATGTACTTGTAGGTCGAGACGAGGACATTGTCCCATTACTACTGGGAGCTGATCACTATGAGTAGTAGTACTGTCGTAGTATGCTTTACTTACAGCTAACAATTACCATTAACACTCTGTTAATTGCAGGTTAACTATGTTAACGTATATGAATGATTAAACAAATGTGTATACCTTTGTATGGTTCTGATTAATAGTTAATATTAACATTCTATTCTCTGTAAGTAAATTATGTCGTTTCTTAATGAATAAAGGGAACTTATGTTCATTCTTGAATAACGGTTTCGGTGTAAGTGTGAGAGCATACCATTTTGCTACTAATGGGCCTGAAGCCGTTCAGTTATAAGTCATCGAGTATGGATATCTCCGAAGAATCAGAATAATTGGAAAAACTATGTGTATCTGTATGAATCTGAAATAATTCTGTTGTGTTCAATATGGACCCGAGATCGTTCAGAACCTATGATATGAATGCAAAGGTTTAACATTATTATGTGCTTTCTGTAATAGTTACTATTCTTATTTTGTTATACGCGAGACAACTGTGTTAATCTGTAATTAAACCATGAGAAACTTGTGTGCACTATTGTATAATGTTATTCTTAGGAAACTACGATTATTTTGTTTCTGTTTATCCGTTCCGGTTATGCTATATTATGACATGATATGGATTGTTCGGTCTTTAAGACCTAATGATTTCTGGTATGGAACAAAGTGCTGTGCGGAGCTAAGTGCTACAATGCGAGTCACCTTTAGAATCCGTGCGAGACGCCTCTTGAGTCCATACATACATGAACTGGGCTTAAAGCCAATCTGGGCCTATGGCCATTCTGTATGATCTGTTAGGCCTGAGGCCAATCTGTATTTTCTGGTATGAAACAAAGTGCTGTACGAAACTAAGTGCTACAGTGTGAGTCACCTCTAGAATCCGTACGAGACACCTCTTGAGTTCATACATGCATGAACAGGGCTGAGGCTGTTCTGCATTAAGGGCTTAATGCCACTCTATTTAAGGGCTCAATGCCACTCTGTTTAAGGGCTTAATGTCACTCTGTTTAAGGGCTCAATGCCATTCTGTTCAAGGGCTTAAAGCCATTCTGTTTAAAGACTGGGCCTATGGTCGTTCTGTATATTACTGGGCTTAAAGCCGTTCTGTATTATATATAGGCCTGAGGCCGTTCTGTATTATATGTGAACCTGAGACCGTATTGAAATATAGTTATGGATAAGACCTATATATGGTTGGTATCTGGCTATTTATTTTATCCAAGGTTTTGCTTATTCAATTAACCTTCTTAAGTTGCTATTATTCACTGAGCCTTGCTCATTCTGTTATATATATATTTCTGTAGGTGAGCCATCGGGGATTGACGCTAGAGTTGTACTGAGGTTCGCTTGTCTGCCAAGTCACCTGGGGTACGTCTCCACGTGGAGGCCTTAATTTATTGTTGGGAGTCTTATAAATTATTAAGTCTTATGTAAGAGTGTGTGAGATCTATATAAAATCTGTGATTGTATAGGCATATTTGGAATGTATTTAAATGCTTAAATCCAATTAAACCATCATGTATGCACAAGCTTAATGGATGTTGTCTTTTATTGATATTGCTTCCGCCTAAGGCCCCGTATATGGTTAAATATTATTTTAAAATTCTATTTTGAGGCCTATGTACAGGCCGGTCATGGACCAAACTTTTAGGGGTGGGTTTGGGTCGTAACAGCAAGAGAATTAGGAATCATTAAAGGGGTGGAAATTGGTGTCAATAGAATAGTAGTCTTTCATTTGCAATTTGCTGATGATTCCCTTTTGTTTTGTGAGGCTAATAGGCAGGAGATGCTAAATATCAAAAGGATTCTTAGGTGGTTTGAAATCCTATCAGGTCTTAAGATTAATTATCATAAAAGTGTGGTGTGTGGGGTTGGTATTTCTGAAGCTTTGAGCAAAGAGTTTGCAACACTTTTGAACTGCACAACTCAGGGGTTCCCATTGAAATATCTTGGGCTGCCTTTGGGTGTGAGTTCAAGTGGAAAGAACATATGGAAACCAGTTATGGATAAAATAAAGACCAGGTTTTCTGGATGGAAAATGAGATTTTTGTCATTTGCTGGTAGGTTGACGTTGATCAAGGCAGTATTATCTAATCTGTCAGTGTATTACCTATCATTGTTTAAGATGCCTGAAGGAATTGCTAAGGAAATAGATAGCATTCAGGCTGCATTCTTATGGGGAGGCACAGACTTGAAGAGAAAAGTGCATATGGTGAGATGAAATGAGGTAACTTTGAGCAAAAGTCAATGAGGATTGGGTATTCGGAGAGTTAGGGATGTTAATGTATGCCTTTTGCTTAAGTGGTGGTAGAGGTTTGCAAATGAAGGGGAATCTTTATGGAAAAAGGTAATATGCAGCAAGCACAATCTGGAAGAGGGAGACTGGTTTCCTAGTTTGAATCAAGACAATAGGAGCTCAAAAATCTAGAGGGATATCTTGGCTGTGGCAGAGTGTAGAACCAACTTGGTTTAGTTTTATGTTAA